AGACACGGCCGGTCTCCCCTGACATAAATCTCATTAAACGGGGAGCAGGGCGGCGTCGGGGACGGCACGGGGGTAAAACTATACGCGGCGCAATTGGGTAGGGGGTGGGGGGAGAGGAAGGAGGAGCTGGGGGAGGCCCGGAGGGACCCTCCGCGAGCGCATTGGTAGCGACCACAACAGCACTGCGCCATACGAGAGATTTTTGAGAGAGGGAGGGAAAAAAGCGCAAGAAGAAGAAGAGAACGTGGGGGAAAAAACATACACGCTGCGCGAACTGAGTAGAGTAGGGTAAAGAAAAGGGGAAAGAGGGTGCACCACCACCACCACCACCACCACCACTGACACCACCACCATCGCTACCATGCAGGGTGCAGGGGTCCCGGATGTTCAATCATGCTGCCTTTTCCAGGAGAAGAACCATCAATCCAGCCTCCGCAGAAGGGAGAGGGGGATTGGAAGAGGGGGGGGGGGGGTGAAGGGGTGAAGCAGAGGTGGGAGGCCAGAGATTCCAGTATATAGCACCATGGTCAAAAAACGCACACTCTAGCCCGTTAAGGAGGGTCGTCAGCCCATAGAGAGGCTGGGCCAAATTTGTTGCGTGCTTATCCAGCCACCGCACCATCTTCTTGGCTCACTCAGATCTTTATCGAGTTGGTGATGAGGGGGTGGAATATGTATCCATGTATACGGACGGCGATCAAAGGGGTGGCAAAGAGGCGGGGAGAGAAGAGCTAATTCAATCAAACGGTTACGCTCACGACAAACAAGGGGACGGCTATCCCGTGCCAAAGAAAGGGGAGGCTCAGGCAAAAGGGGGGTTGGGGGAGCAGCGGGGAGCAGGCAGGCCAGCCTCGGCCACCCGCCCCTGGCCCGGCCCCGCCCGGTCCCTGGGGAGCATCAGCGGGGCAAAAACCACAAAGTAATTTACTGCAGTCACAAACAACGCTCATAACAGATGCAAATCGGGCGGGCTGCTTCCTCCTCTTGCCCCCTCCATCCCCCTCCCGGCCCCTGGCCTCACCAGCAGCCAACGCTCCCGTGGGCAGAGACGGACGGCCAATGAAACTTGGTGTGTTTCAATTTTCGTTTGCTTTTTCCTGTTTCAGTATTGCTTTCTTTCTTTCTCTTCCCCCTTCCCTCCAAACTTCTCCCGTCCTTTTTTATTTTTCTTGTCCCTTTTGTCCGTTTTGAACAAAAAGTTCTTTTACCACAGTGTCCTATTCGTCCTGAAGTAGTCGTAGTATAGTCTTCCGCAGAGAAAAGAGAGAGGAAGAGGTGTTGGTAGGGGGAAAGAGATACAAAAGATGGGGGGGGGGGAGCAAAGAATGACTAACGGCAGCGGTACTTTATAGAGCAGTGTTGTCGTTCTACTAGGAGAAAAGAATCCTCGCCCCCCCCCCGACCGCGCCTTTCTCCTCGCGTGGTTCCCACCCCTATAAAAGGCGCACCTCACACCATTTACCTCCCACAGACCCCAACCCCCAACCCCGCATCACACGCTGTAACAAACTAATTTCTTTTCGACAGTTTGGCATACGACGGGCGTGGCGCTCCCAAAGTAATGGTCGGGTCGGTTACGAGGAGCGAGGCACGCGCGGTTGAATATTTACGGTGCGTACGCAACACGATTTTTTTTTTCGGGAATGGCGGGCAACCCTGCAGATGGAAAGGGGGAGGAGGGGAGCAGGCCGAGGCCGCCGGGAGGAAGCGGAAACAAGCTGAAAAGTTGCGTGTCGAATTTCGATCCGGTCCGGCCGGTTCGCGGACCGAGCTGCTGGGCGAAGTGAGTGGCTGCTGCTCTCCTCTGATGGCAAAAGTTTTTTTTCTCTCTCTCCCCGCACTTCTTTCTTTTCTCCCTTTCTCTGTCTCTCTCTAACTCGCGCGCATTTCACGCCCTTTATCTCCACACCACCCGAGCAGAGCTTCTCTCTCTCTCTCCTTCTCTGCGGACTTCTTCTCACACCCGCCTCAAACGCAGCGGCAGAGCGCTGCTTCGCCTCTTGTAAAAGTGAAACGCATTCAGGAGAAACGGCACGGCTCGCGGCACCGTTCCCGATCTGCCGCAGGGGACTCGATCGGCCAGCGTTATTACCAGAAATTCCCGGTCGGTGGGGGAGAGGGAGGAAGGAGGGGGAGATAGGGGTGATGTGGAACAGGAGAAGGGGGAGGAGGAACTAGATTTTTTCCAAAGTCTGCAGCTTATGAAGGTGGAGCCGGGCTGGCAGGGCTGGCAGCCGCTCCCGTCAGCACGCCGCGCTGCCGCCGCGCTCGCTAAGGGCTGAGCCGGGCCAATAGTCGGAAACGAGGCGGAGAGAGAAAAGGGGAGAAGAAAAAAAAATAAAGTAAAATAAAGAGAAATAAGGAAAATCTCGGAGACCGCTTGCCACCGCCACGAGAAATCTGTCATACTTTTCTCCAGTCGCCGCAGCAGCAAGCAGCCAGCCGTCGTGCGGCGCTTTGTTGGGACCGCCGCACCGCACCTGCGCTTGCACTGGAGGCGAAAACTTTACCAGGGGACGGCCTCCAGGACCTCCAGGCTCCAGGCAGGCTCCAGGCAGGCTCCAGGCAGGCTCCAGACACGGCCGGTCTCCCCTGACATAAATCTCATTAAACGGGGAGCAGGGCGGCGTCGGGGACGGCACGGGGGTAAAACTATACGCGGCGCAATTACTGCTTTAATATTTTTTGTCAAAAAAAAAATCATCTAAACCAAACAAACTGCCAAAGACGAAGAAAAACAAAACAAAAACATAAAACTTAACAATTACATTCCGGTCGATGCTAATTCAGAAACAATCGCTTAACTTTTGATTTGAAACTTTATCCGCCCTCCCCAGCGTCCCTGTGGCAGTGTCTTTCTCGGCTTTTTGTGGTCCTCACAGTCATGGAATCACCTCCACGACCGCTGATAACAACGATAAGGGATCGCGCCACGAGAGGCAATGCCATGACCGAGGTAAGGGGACCGTGGGGTAGTTTGATGACAACCCTGCGATGTCGGGAGCCAAAGCAGGCGAGGGAACAACCCCGCAGTGCGCTCGGTAGATTTGCGGGGGGCGATCGCGGGCACGAAGAGGGAGGGGACCGCGCGCGGTGGGACGTTGACGACCACGTTGATGTCAAAGAGGAGCTGGGGGGAGTGGCGTGTGGCGAGGCCTGACGCTCCGCTGCGGCCCCGCGCGCCAATGGCCCATTACGTACCCCCGTCCTCTCCCACCACATGTAGGACGAGTCGGAGCACCGCTACACCCGCCACCGCCACCAACACACCCGCGGCAGTGACCAGGGGAGGAGGCCACGATAGCCACCACCAAGCGGCGGGGGCCGTGAAGCAGGACAAGACGACCGATTCCAAAGCGATTTCGCCGCAGCAGCGGAAGGAGACCGCCGCCGCCACAGCCGCGTCCGGACCGGGCCGCAGACGAATTACGGAAAAGTGTTATTTAAGTTCGTCCCCGGAGGGGGTAGGCACGGGGGGAGAGGAGGGGCGACGGGGCAGAACGGGTGGTGCCAGATGACAGCTGGGAGTTCTCGAACTCTCGAAGTCTCGCGCGCAGCGATAGTCCGCCTCGCCTTGCCTCGCCCCGCCGTCCGTCTGCCTGTCGGCCCGTCCGCCCGTCCGTATGCCAGGCCCTCTTGAAAACTTATAATTATGCATGTATCTCCGGAAGTAGAAAGTGCGCGTTGGGAGCGCCGGGGAGGCCCCACGCGGACTACCCCGCCCCGCCCATCCTTGCCACCGCTGCCCAGTTGGGGAAAGAAGTAAAAGAAAAGATAATAAAAAGAGCGGGCTTAAATATTCCACGAATCGAGAGGAAGCGGCCTGGGCGCTTTTAACGTCGCCTCTAAAGCGCAGAGGCAATGCTGACCAAGGCCTCGGAGGGGGAGAAGGAGGACAGGGGAGGGGGGCTGTGGTGGTCGTTGGCAACAGAAAGAGAAAAGAAATGCAATATAGATGATGAAAAAAATAAATAATAAAAAACTCAGATTATGACGATGCTTTGATAATTATTATTAACAAGACTCTTCACTGCTTGGAAATAAGAGGCGGAGGTGTGTTTCATGTGGAATCCGCTAGTCTTTGGTCCGGCGCGGCGGGGCGCGGGCCGCGCGCGGCGTCCCCGGTCGATTCATGGGGGGCTCCCCGTCTCGGGGCCTCCCCCGGGCCCCAGGAGGGGCTCCTGCCGCAGCGATCGACCTGTTCGCGGTGCTTTGCACCTCCCCGATGACGTCAGGTCGGTTACCCGCATCGCGATCGTGACGTCACCTGACGACCCCGCTATCGGTCAGCGCTGTGGTGACACGGGGGGCCGTGTGAAAAAAAAATTGTGCCGGACGCGGACGTATACCGATCGTTGTTCATTAAACAATGTCACACTTACGTGATGGACTCGCTGGTGTCATCCTCTTCCTCGTCGTCCTCGCTATCGTAGAACTCATCCTCGGACGAGGCGGAGCCGGACGGTGAGGCGGTCGACGACGGCAGTCTCGACCGGGGGATCACCACGTCGCTGCGGGTACAAAAAAAATGTTAAGACTTTTAGACCTAGTTATTTTTGTATTACTATTACCATTAATGTTGGTGCGGATCTTAAGCTGCTCTCCACTATATTTTTAGGCAGGCGGTAGTCGTTTACCCTGACATTTACATTTGATTTCTTTTTAAACAGCCAGAGGGGGCGCCGGGAGGCAGGCACGCCCGCCAAACTGCCGTGTCTGACCACTGCCTACCTCACAGGCGAGCAGCGCCGAACCCTGTTTATACCTGCATAGTCGTTTGCAGCTGCAGCTCGGTAAAGTTGACGCTAATGCCTAATACGCCGTGCGCTAATGAAACGGACTTGGACCTGCCGTATGCGTTACTGGGCAATTATCGCGTTCAAACTGGCCTGGAATTGACATACCGACCGGCCGGCTTCGACCCGTTTGGCCCTATACCTCACCCTCTGCTGAATTTTAAATTTGCTGCTCGAGGTGCAAATTAATTTCAGTACAACTTACAGGTAATTGGCTGAGCCTTAAAGCAATAAGAAATAAAGAATCTGAATAAAAATAAGAGGCGAAGCCTTAACAATCGAGTCGAGTAGCCCCCAGGAGTTTGGGAGATCACGGCCCAACTTATGGGGATCCAACCTTCCCAATGGTAAAGTTTATAGGGTTGATGTGAGTCAGAGATATGTTGTTCTGATCAGAGCACTACAAAAATTGCTGCGAAACTAATTTTCGAGCAATTATTTTCTTGGAAAGATAACTGAGGGCTAGGTTCAAATGAGCGCTTGCTTCTAAAACGCCGTATGTTGCAGTCTGTGCGTTGGCAAGCCTGCGCATAACCTCACTTTCACAGTCTATGGTAGAACTGATGAGGTATATTTCGTACGCGCGGGAGCGGCGTCGAGAAAATGGGCTAAATAGGTACAAAAAAACTGAGGAGAAAAGAAGTTGAAAATTACTTCCCCATTATTAATTGACAACATAACAAAATCACAAAACAACGGAAACGCACATCGCTTCCGCGACCAGGGATAGGGATCAGCCTCTTTGTCTATAACAATGCCTAGTCGCGGGCTTTGTAATAACATTTATTTCGAACAAAGCCGGGGCAGGACAGAGGTGTCGCTATAGGGGAGAGCGCCGCGAGGTAGGCAGACCCGCGGACCAGCTGTGCCCGCACGTTGCCTACTCAGCGGGCGCCCCGCTGCTGCCACAGGGAGAGCGCCGCGAGGTAGGCAAGCCCGCCGACCAGCCGCGTCCGCACGTTGCCTACTCAGCAGGCGCCCCGCTCTTCCTCGCGTCATCGGTGGCGTGGGGCTGCGGGTCTGCACCCGGCCCGGCCGGCCTCGACCTACAAACCGGCTCGGGAAGGAAGGGACGTTGTTTGCCAGCGACTCTGGAGCCGCCCCGGAGCGCGGGGCGGGGGCGGGGCGGGCCAGACGGAGGAATCAAAATGGAAACGTAATTATTTCCACTCTCGTTAATCTGTCCGCGCGACGGCGGCGCCCGGGGACAAAGGGGGGATGAGAAGAACAGCGAGATTGAGACAGGGAAGAGAGGAAGAGAGAGGAAGACTCTCTCTCTCCCTCTCCCCCACCCTCTCTCTCTTTCTCTCTCTCAATCTCTCTCTCACTCGCTCTCTCCCTGTGTGTCTCTCCCGTTTTCTCTTTCCCCTCCCCCTGTCTCACTATTTCTTTCGTCCTCTTGCTCCCACCCTCCTTGCTTTCGCCACTGTCGCCCGTCCGGCCCGCATACCACCTGCAATCGCGCGACAAAGCACTCGAGGAATAATTTCGTGCAATTTCACATGTGCGCCTGGGGTGGCAGGGAGGAGCAGACCACTGGGGGTGTGGCGGGGTGTGGCGGGGTGTGGCGGGGTGTGG